AGAGTTATTACGGGTCGCATTGAAATCAGTGTATAACAGACAGATAATTCATCTTTTTCAAGGGATGCACGAGTGACTTGAGAAATCCTAGTGTATCTTTAAGTAAAACTAAGAGAGAAACGTTGTACCAGTAACAAACAAGCGTGTGTGGCTGACCTAGTCAGCTATTAAAGTTTAGCCGCTACGATAAAAATTAAGTCACTGCAAAGCCACTACAAGGCCACTACACAGTCACTACAAGGCCTACAAAGCCACTACGAGGCCACTACAAGACCACTACAAAGTCACTACTGTAGTGGAAAAAGTGTAGTGTAGTGTAGTGTAGTGTTGTTTTTTCCCCCTTGCAGTTACCTTTAAAAAACATTTCTTCTCAATACATTTGCACACTGTACTTACCACGAAGCATAAATTTCAGGTTTTCTTACTTTTTCCACAGTGTACAAAGGCATTCGAAAATCGGCAAAGGAAACTGAATTACAAACCGAACAAAACCGCAAAAATTCACACATTCACACACACAGAACACGTACACACGTGTTTTGTGCGAGAATGATGCATGTGATCTGTACCATATTATGCTATCCTCACGAGAATTTTATATCGCTACCTAAATGCTTTCTGGTTTCGGAGACGTGAATGATGCTTTTACACGAGAAATATGGTGTTTTGTGCGAGAATTATGCATATGATCTGAACCATATGATGCTATCTTCACGAGAATTTTTATTTCTGCTTAAGAACGTTCTTGTCTGGGTCAGTAGAGTAAGGCTTTTACGCGAAAAATATCAGCCGAATATCTCAAATCTTGTACTTTGCACTCATCCCTGAACAATAAACGAACACCTGAGAGCAATAACAGTTAGCTTTAAAAAACATTTCTTCTTAATACAGTTGCAGACTGTCGTAACCACGAAGCATAAATTCGAGGTTTTTTTCTTTAGCCACAGCGTACTAAGGCATTGAGAAAAATAATTGGAAATCTGCTTCAGCATGCCTCATTTTATTGTGCACGAGAAAACAATAAAACAAAACCACTAGACGCGCAATGTGCTTACGTAATAGAGAACTATTACTTTGATATTCACATTTCACAATTCGAGAGTAAGTTGCTCTTCTTTTACTTTTCGCACGCCCAGTTCGTTTATTCATCTACTTACTTTCCCATGTAAAATACAAACTAACGTCCGAGATGTACTGTGTAAGAACAACTGACTGCATATATATTCTTCACACTATACTACATAAAATTCTTTTACTGATAAGAGCCTTTCTGTAAAGTACACCCCATACATTCACACACTCACACATGCAGAAAACGTACACGTTTTCATTCTACAACAAAACATTCACCAAACTCTATACCATACATCGAGAAACACCATCTTTCCCGCACTGATGACCACATAAATCTACCCCTCCAAAGAACACAATCAGCATTAACCCAAAGCACAATTATCACTCTAAAACACGACAATTCTTTCGAACAATACGCATAAATTCTCCTGGAGTCACCCGAGAAATTCGCAAGCCAACCAGAACACTTTTCGTATAATTCACAGACACAAAATTCTCGTGCCGAAACCACAATCTCTTTCAGACTACATGCGTAATTCTTTATGAAAACAGCACTATTCTCGCGTAAAAACATTATTCCCGTGGCCTAGACAATAAAGTTTGTATGAAGGCGGCATACAAAATTCTGATGTTTTCTTGATTAAGCATGATTCTCACACAAAGGAGCATAATTCCCGTGCGGGACTGAGGGAAAAGGCAAAATTGACATATTGCAGTTTTTTCTCCACTCAGAAGTAAGTTGTACTAGTTTCTTAGCAAAATTTTCGTGGGACGAACATAATTTTCGTTTGACGATTTTTCTCCCACTGCTGAGAAAATCGTGAGTGATTTTAAGCAGTTATAATATCGTCATATCGTCACCGATATTATACCAAAGTAGAAAATCAATATTTTCTAAAAATAAGACGCAGATAATGCAAAATTCAAGTGAAATTTATTTGTAAACTTATTATACACCATTCGAAAGAGGGTCTCAAACTATACAGGAACATTGGGTATTTAATTATTTTAAACTTTATTTTCTTGTCGAAAAATTGAAAAAGCTCGAAAGGGGTCAAAAAAAGGAAAAATGCGACGTCTATAATAAAATCGATTTTTTTGTAGATGCACTACATGTCGTAGTTTTCAAAGTACTTTCTCACCAAAGAAAGTCGAAAAGGAGTGACTCATTTTGTAAACCTATTAGGGCGTTTGGGTTGAGGACTAGACCTTTGATTCATATACCATTGTAACGGCCAACAGACCAGCCTCAGAACTATGTGAGACTTTTTTAAAAACTCCTCTTCCTCAGAGAGAAAAGTCGACTTTACTTAGAAAAATCAAATTTTCGACTTTCTTTGGGTTCGGACATCCATGGAGCACGAGCGTTTGACTTTGAAATAAAACTGAAGGGCTTTTCTACATCAGTTTTCAACACTCATTCAGAAAAAAATACTTTAAAAACTACGATATGTAATGCATCTTCAACAAAAATCGATTTTATTATAGAGGTCGCATTTTTCCCTTTTTGACCCCTTTCGAGTTTGTTCAATTTTTCGACAAGAAAATAAAGTCTGAAATAATTAACAACGCAATATTCTTGTACAGTTTGAGACCCTCTTTCGAATGATGTATAATAAGTTAAAAGAAAAATTTCATTTGAATTTTGCATTATCTGCATCTTACTTTCTAGAAAATATTGATTTTCTACTCGATTGAATCGAAAGAAGAAATCAATGTGACATTTTACAGAAAATGCGTAAATACCTTCGAAAACAGCTCCAAGATCGCCGAATTGAAATCTATTATTAGTGATTGAGCGCAGAGAATGTGGAAAATATCTTTCTGAAGAATGCAAAGAGAGGTAAAATGAAAAAATGGAAGAGAGGAAGGGAAAAAGAAACGACTGCCAACTTCTTGGATTCCATAACTGCTTAGAAAAGGCTCTATTTTTCGCCCGCTGTGAGAAAGAGAGAAAACCACCTAACCACGTTTTGGGTCTCTGTGGTAGGAAAGATGCTGCAAAAACTGCTCTTCAGAATGAATTTGTTTTGGAAAGCGGACAACCCTAAGAGAATAGTTGCTAAGATTTTTTTTTGTCCTGAATGATTTAGTCGATTCTTTGGTAGTTCGATAAATAAAAGTTTAAAAAATCAGCGTTCGTGAGTGTCAGTGTGATCAATGTAAGTTTTCCAGTGTGAACATTGACATTGATACATATCTGGTTCTGTTACATATTTTATCTTTATTTGGTCAGACTACTTTTTCTTGTTTTCTCTCTTCTCCTTGCTATATATACACAGGTATTTTCAGTTCAAGTGCAGCTAAATCTATTTTATTTTGCTATGACCACACATCTGTACAACCTTATGTTTTTGTAAATAAAACTAAAGTGAAAGAAAACGTTTCGGTTCATTATCAGTGGAGCATTGTTGATCTAACACATTGTTCTACTGACCAAAATGAACGATTTCTGCCTCTTTCCGTGTTTCAGATATAAAAAAGACGAATCTTATGTCACCGTTCATCATTGTACTATTTGCTCCGTCTCTATCGATAACAACCATTCATTTTTATGTCACATCAGAAGAAAAAGTTTTTGTATCTCCATAGGAAACATGCACCAATCCGAAGAGAGGAAATATAAAAGACGATCTGTAATATCCAGAAAAACGGTAACATAGTTTTTTCTCTTTTTTCCATGGGAATATCAGAGAGGTGCCTATTTTTTTTCTTATTTTTTAAGCTAGCTTAAGCGCGCAGTTAACTGAGCACTCCAAACGAGCGGTTAACCGACTTGGATTGTTGAATAATAGTTCATAATAGTTGGGACGTCTCAATCACACTATTTTGGTCGATTAGGAAGCCAACTTTACTTTGTTACTAATGTAAAAGTTGGGACAAGGTCCCTTCCTGTTTCCCATAATTCCTTAATGGATGAAAGAAACAGGTTTTCCGATTGTTTTGAATCAGGGTGGAGAGATTTCTTTGGCGGACAGTCTTTTTAAAAAATCGGCGAACAATTTTTTCCTAAATAAGTAAAACAATCGTTAATTGAAAAGAATTTTTGTTACTCTGTATCAGAATTTATTTTTTCAACGAAAACAATATTTAATATTCATCCAAGTCATTATCTAGAAAGAACAATATATTTCTTTCTTTGGCTCGACCTGGATGAGAAATAAAATCTTTTATAACAAAATTAGTAGCTTCTTGGGTTAATGGAAGTCGTAAACTCGAAGCGTTGATACATGTTTCGAGGATCACGTCTCCCATACGAGTTCGTGTCTATGTTTTCACTCGACGAAGTGTGCTAAAAACCCGTTCAGCTTCGCTGTACCCAAAAATAAAGAATTTAAAAGACTGTCTGCCAGCTATTTTGACCGACAATGAGAACTTAAAAGAAGGCAGAACACAGACTCCAAAAGTTTGGCGGACAGTGTCAAAATTTAGGGTGGGAGGTCCACTACTTCCCCGCCTAATCGGAAACACTGAAAAGAAGGCAGTATCAAAGCAGAAAATCGATAGACATATTCAAAGAAGTAGAAAATCATTCCCGGACTAAATCGTACACGATTTTCTAGGAGTACCTACCTATATGCATTAGCCGTGGATTTTCTCATCATTGAATCAACTGTTTGTTGCTATAATAATATACGTTGTTTTGGCAATGGTACACCATGTGTATGAAATGTTAGACAACAAATAAATGTCATGAAACATAGATTTGATGCTAATTCTCTTACCCAATATTATTTGGATCGGCTAATTCTAGTTTTAATCGATTCGCTCGACCTTGAGATTTCTGTTGAATTTCATCTGCCGTTACTTCTAAACTCAGTAAATGAACTGTTTTGAAATGAAATGCTTGAAACCAATGATAAACAAAATTTTTCATATTAGCCATATTCATTGGTTTGATTGTATAATGAGCAAATTGACCACTAAGTGACCAACATGATAACCAACAATTCGACTTGTAACGACTAGTTGATTCCCACCAGCTTCTGACGATTTATCTAAATTAAATAGTTGATAATATTCATCTAGTTCTAGAGATGGGCATCGGGACCAAAAACATTTTCTGGTCCCGATAAAAGATTTGATTGGCGTTCCATCACCTTCACGGTTAAAATATCATTTGGCCGTGCATTTTGCAGAGAAATGTTTGCTCTTTCAGATTATATATTCTAAAATATTTCGCGAGTCTCTTTTATCAATCAATTTAGCAAATACATGACCGGGACCAAGATCACCGGGACCAGATTGGTCCCGGTCATTGTATTTGTCAAATTAATTCGTAACGAAGGTCTGTGGTATATTTTAGAATATATAATCTGAAAGAGCAAACATTTCTCTGCAAAATGCACGGCCAAATGATATTTTAACCGTGAAGGTGATGGAACGCCAATCAAATCTTTTACCGGGACCAGAAAATGTTTTTGGTCCCGATGCCCATCTCTATCTAGAACAGATGTATGTGATGGTGTTTGAATATGAGTATCAACAAAATTTTCTACCAAATTAGTAATTCGACAACGATGTTCTGAAACAGGTATTGCGTCTAAGCCATCGAGAACAATCAATGCTTGACCACGATGAACAGAACCTTGTAAAGCAAGATATAGTTGTTTAAGTTTTTTTATTTTGTCAACACTCATATCATTATCATAATACATAATTGAATTCCGCATCCGCTTATCGGCTTGTCCAGCTAGCGGCTTTCATTTTTTGCTCTTTTTCGAAAAGTTATTGCAATAAAGCTGCAAACTAATCGTAAATGGCAACTAGTTAATTGAGTAGATTAAACATTTCTCTACAAAATGAAAAGTGTCTCGGCTCTGAACGTTGATTCGTTATGGAAATACAGTTTTTGTACAAACAGCCCCAAAAATCGATGTTGATGCTATCTAAAAGGCGTGTCTAAAAGAGTGAATACGAACCAGCAAAAATTGAACAAGTATACCAATTTGTAGAAAATTGTTTTCTCTACAAGATGTGATAGCTTGTCAAGTTCGAAACTATTCTAGTTAATCTGTATTAATCAAAGAAAAACCATATGATTTGTTAAGTTTATCTTTCACACGTACGTACATCTTAGACAAACATACAACGATGACATACAGTGCAGATATAATCAGGTATCTGTCTGCAAGAATCGTGAAATATATGTTCATACTGAGAAAGTCACAATTTTTGAGATCGACTTTGCGTTTGTTGCATGTACTTTTCTCGAATTTGTTTAGGTAACATCGCATAAAAACGTGTTTGTTTATTTTTTGTTAATTTTAACTGGGTCGCTAAAATTGTTGCATCAACCTTTTTCTGCGGTATAATAATGAATAATAAGATTTGACTCGAACATCTTTCATTTGTTGTTCGAGGTTTAATGGATTATCTCGATATTGTTTTCTCATCATGAAAAGTATTTGCGTAGAAATGAAAAAGTTTTGTTGCTCACGAGAACTGCCTGTAAACATGTTTCGTTTGAATTCGTTTGAATGACTTTCTAAATCATGCACTGCACATCATCTGTTCTCATTTCATAAAAGCTATACAAAACATGATTGAAACTGAAAGCACGTTATGTGAGGTATATTCATGAAAAGGAGAAAGGAGAATTCATACGAAACATTGTCGGGAAACAAAAGAGTTGTGTGCCACAATAATCAAAGCTGCATAAAAGAGCTAACAGGTAATAAGATTAGATTAGATTAGATCAGTGTAACATTACTAAGATCAGACGATGTTTTCATGTTAACTTCTTTGATACCCTAATTTCTCAACAGTAGTAAAGAGTACACGATTTTCTGGACCACACAAAAGACTAATTTTGAAATCTGTAATGCACAGACATATACATCTGGAAAGGCGACATTCCGAAATGTCGTTCGAAAATGCCGTGTAAGCAGATTACGCATACCAGCTTCAACATCACTAGTAAACTACAGCATATTGTTACTCTTTTTTTCTTATCCATAATTCCCTTCTGTGAGCACCTACGGACAACATCTTTATTATTGTTAGGTCCATAATGGTCTTTGACCGCTGACCTTTTCTTTATCAGAATCAATAAAGATATACAACAACTACAGCATCGTGTCTAAACTTAATTCGAAGCAACAAATTTCACTAATTTACACAGTCATTTTGATATATTCACACCAAAGCAACGCCGCGCTCGTTTTGAATGACCGATCTAGAACCATCGACTGATTGAATTCGAACAGTTTCAATCGACAGTCAATTCTCTAACTTTTGTTACTTTTATAGGCATGATCAATAAGACATCAATCACTAAACATAATTATCGGCATGCATCAGATTCTCTATCTAAGCTCAATAGGCTCATGAGCCTATTGACAGATAAATTTATCGATCTTAAAATAAGATCCCATAAGTCACTTAACGATTAGACCCATAGATAGGTGATCAGTCTTATCTTTACCCGGCTTATTTTGAGATCTATGTATGGGTCTAATCGTCAACCGACTTATGAGATCATATTTTAAGACACTTTGTTTCAGGGTGCATCGATCCAGCCTGCCATATCAACAAAACGACAAACAATACTTCGACACTTTGCTTTTTGTGATAAACTGATGTATTTCAAACAAGAAAGTAGACCAACGACATTCACTTCCGTACCCACTTTCATCTGATTTGACAGTAAAAGCATTCCATCGACCCTTCTCGACTTTTCACTCGAATAAATTGTCCATCAACATGCACTACGACCCACTCGTCAATCTAATCAGAAACAAAATCACTGAAAACTGGTTTTCCAGAAGATCGGTCTATGAAGGCCTAGCAGCAGCATTCATGGTGATATTCGGAATCAGCATCGTCGACTACCTATAGTCCACTCGGTTTTCTTGAAAAAGCGATTTATCAGTTGGGGTACTTCCCTCGTCAGTGAACATGCTCTTAGGTCCGACCGAGCAATTTTTGTTGGAAATGCACCTCTCTAATGTGAACACCTCTGTATTCTGAACATGAACACTTTTATTCGGTCCTCCTGCTATTATGTTGTTCTCTTCTTCTTTTATCTTTGATCTATTGTATACACAGTGTGTGTGTTTCCTTTTAATAGTCATTTCTTTTTTATTATCTCAGTGTTAAGATCACTTTATCGTGTTGCCTATACAGTGTTTTTTTCAATTTTTGATTTTGATATATAAATTTTAAATATTGTATATAATGTTTTTGGAGTTTAGGGGCAAAGTTGGCAAAGTTAACAATATAAATTTTAAAACCAATGCGGCTATCATGTTAAGGAGTTTAATAAAAAGTTTTAATAAAATAATAAAAAAATAAACAATTAAAACTAAAACATTAAAATTATAATTCAATATTTCGACCTATTAATACGGTCGGTCATTTTCAAGTTTCTCTTCGTACAGGATGTTACATAAAAATTGAAAACAAAAATAACTGATTATATATATATATAGTGTTTTTCTAATCTAGGCACACACATTACAAAGAAGACTGAAATTCCATGTGCATGACAATGAGAGAAGGAAGAAAGAGAACGAGATTATGATATATGGAGAATATTGTTACTTGTATATTTTATTTTATATATAAAGAATAGGTTGAAATTGAAACGATTAAAATGGATAAGTCAATTGTCAACAAACAACAAGACCAGATAAAGGTAGAGGAATAGTGGTTATGGATAGAACTGATTATTATGGAAAAATGTCACAAATCTTGAATGATCATACTAAGTTTCAACCTTTATACACTGACCCTACTATAGCTCGGGAAATAGTCTCACTAATCTCTTACGTAGACTATACAGTCAGAATTGCCTCAAAATTCCTGTACTGTCAAAGATACTTTTGAGTTTGTTAGAACACTTAAAACCAATGAACTACTGTCTACGGGTAATATTATGGTTTCTTTTGATCTAACTAGTCTTTACACAAATGTTCCACAATGTTCCATTACTTATCTGTTGATATGCGCTGATGGGAAAATAGGTTAAACACTACGCCCACGATAAGCGACTGTCGAAGTTCGAAACTCGTCAGCGCTTAATTTTTATTACTATTCTCCTTTATTACGTTGCAAATTTTATTTTAATTTTTTTTCTGGAGTGTCAGCCATACGTCGGAGCCAAACTAGTGCCGATCCACTCAAGTCGACCATGGACTACAAAAGCCCACTACTCCCAGGTTGGTAACACTTCAAGAAAAAAACGCCTATAGGTTGATATGCTAGGATAGAGTTCAGAGTCTAATTCAAGCAAGAGAGATACTCGTTGTAACCAGTGGTGACTGTGAAAGAAAATAAGGGGTGATTGTTTGAACGAGAGATCATTTTTCTTCCATGATGAATTTTTGTCTTTTTCTACAGAAACGACGTAGTGCTCTGTCGAGCAACTGTCGCAAAAGTACGAAAATTCGATTTTTCTTATCATGACGAACGGACGTTAGTTTTGTCTTCTTACACAACTGTCTAGTATTTTTTATCGCAAATAAATTATATGAGTCATGGATAATAACAAATTAAAAAGAAACAATATTGGAATACGTGACAAATTAAGTAAGAAATTAAATAACTCATCCAATCCAATGTCTTCTACTCCTGCTTCCGTCGATGATCAACTAGCTTCCACCATCAAGCAAACAATTTTGTCTACTGAGTTCTTTGAT